TACTTCGTCATTCTTCAAGGTTTCACATTTTCTTCTGTATTTTTTAAAGCGAAGAAATTTCATTGCAGGTTGTTAATCGTGATGTCAGAGAGAAATTGAAGGTTCATAATTACTGCAGAAACCCTAATCCCAACAGAGAATCTAGACCATGGTGCTACACGGAACCAATTGGAGAACGAGAAAACTGTGACATACCATCTTGTGGAAATATCGGTACTGTTAATCGTACAGCTTTTACGCTAGACGCCTGCAAAGTGTATGATTGTTTCAGGCTCTCCGAAATCAATTCAGGCGGGTAAATGCAAACCTAAGCATTTCGAATGCGCACCAGGGGAATGCATTCCTTCGCGATGGGTTTGTGACGAGGAACAGGTATAGCATATACATGTTTTCTCATTTAGTTTGATATACCTACTTTTTGAATTAAGCACTAATTTATGTAAATTTCTCGAATTTCAAGGACTGTACAAATGGAACGGATGAACAAGACTGCGCCTCACATATGGATCTTTACGAAAAGCATCCCAAGCATAAACTAGAAGGACACGATGTTCAAAAGTGGTTGAACACACCATTGAAGACATGTGCTTTTCGATGCAAGGAGGCTGATTTCACTTGTCGATCATTCTCACACAAGTAAGTAGAATTTTACCTCGAAATATTTGTTCCTGCATTTTGCATTTGAATTTGTTCCTGAATTTCGGCATTTCTTTAAAAGAAAAATGAAAGAAGAATACCGAAACGTACTGTTTTTCAAAGTTAAAATTTCATCGAGAAAAGTTACAGATAAACATTGCGAGAATGGGAAAAAAATGCTTGTGAGTTTAAGAAATATTATCTTTAGTGCCTTCGTTTATTTTGTGTATTTTTAGGGCTGCGGGAAACGTTTGCTTTTTGAGCGACAGTAACGTGGGTACGACGGGCTCCCTAAAACCGAACAAAGAGTACGATTACTACGAGATGAAGGAGAGAAGCATGAATTGCGAGGGAATGTTCGTCTGTGGAAATGGAAAGTGCATCAATCAATCTCAGGTGTGCAATGGAAAGAACGATTGCAACGATCGCAGCGATGAAAATATTTGCACCGTGGAGAATTTAGATTACGCCATTCGATTGGCTGGTTCTGAGGATGACAGCGAAGGCAGAGTCGAAGTTAAAAGTAAGTGGAGAAGATAAACTATATAAATGACAGAAAATTGAATTTTTTTCTGGCAAGATTAAAGAAACTTTCCTCGTACGTTACAATTTAAATATCCAAAGATTTAACGTTTCCTGGATTCGAAAAATTGGATTAGTTATTCTTGATTTATAATGTTGCAAATTTTCACAGTTTTAGGCGTTTGGGGCCAAGTGTGCGACGATGATTTTGGAATGATCGATGCTGAAGTAATTTGCAAAGAACTTGGCTTTAAACTTGGCGCTTTGGAAGTCAGAGGAGCAGGATTTTACGGTAATATGGATCCACCGACGAGATTTATGGTTGATCAATTAAGATGTCGAGGCAACGAGACGTCCCTACGTGAATGTGATTTTGATGGGTAACTTTTCAAAAGATGTATTAAAAATACGAACTCTGTACTGTAGATACATACGTAAAATTAGAAATTTAACAAATTTTCACGAAGGAAAAAGATTTGACAAATCTGATCTGACAAAATTTAGAAGAATAAATTTTCTGCTGATTCATAGAGCGAAGTGTCTCTTTTTCTACAGATGGGGTGTTCATAACTGTCAGCCAGAGGAGGCAGTGGGTGTTGTTTGCAAAACTGCAGTGGACAGCTGTCAGGATGGTCACTGGAAGTGCGACAGAAGTCCAATGTGCATTCCAACTGCGTTTATATGTGACGAAGTTGTCGATTGTCCTGATGGTTCCGATGAAAGTCCTGATCACTGCGACGTGAGTAGTAAAATGAGATTTCGTCCAATCGAACATTTATACGAAATTATTATCAGTAAAAACAATGGGATTTCAATTAAACGAATTTATCATGCTTCAGTCACTCGATCTTTCGTTAATTCAATTTTCCATTACGTTATATCGATGCACGGTGTCATATTCTATAAATTATTTTTGTATATTTTCTATATAAAAAAAACACTGTACAGAAATTTTTAATAGTATGTCTTAAAGAATTCCTAAGACATTTTTATACTTCACGGTATTAATATTTTTATGTTATTCAGTGAAATTTAATTTAAAAAAATTTATCAAACGATATAGTATATGTTGTATTAAATAATAGTCACGAAAACTCTTCCGGAAATTCTTTACCGCAACACTAACTTTGGCCACGAAATACGCTTAGAAAAAGGACGAAACTCGTAATTTATAAGCACTCGGGAGATAGAAGAAAGTACGCCCTGGATAATGCAATTTGTTTGAAATCGCTATCTCAATTGGTTTGCAAAATATAACGCTTTAAAGTACAGCGTACAAAGCACGTAAGATGAATGGGGGGTTGCGGCCTAGAGACCCCGTGACCCACATTTTTTTCCGGGAAATGCGTACGCGAGTAGTAGTAGGAAAAAAAAGTCAGACTCGGCGTCTGCCGTACACTACGGTATACGTGTGCACAGGCGCAACACACGCTGGGCCAATGAATGTGTGCGAGCGAGAGGTCCGATTACGTGAGCGAGCGAGAGGTCCGATTACGTGAGCGAAAGAGAAACACAAAGCACCGAAAATTGTACTTCTCTTTGAACGACGATATCTCGGGAACGGAAAGTCGTATCGACATGAAAAAAGGACCATTTTAAAGGGGAGGATTTCCTGCTTCTAGAAATGTTTGTATTATTGCGCTGTAGCTGTGTGCGGGGAATTGAGAGACGATAGAAAATGAAGTTTCTTGATACTGTAGATTTGACGTGGTAAAGCAATTTTGAGGGGATAATTGGTGTAAAAAAATATTTTGTGCTTATTTTTAAAGAATATCTTGTGTGACTGAGTTTCATTTGTGCACATTTTTAAATTAAGTAAGAATTTTGATGTAACATATTTACATCGGTTGCTTGAAATTCCATTGCATTCAAGTTGTTCCCTTTTTCTTTATTATTAAAATAAGATAGTTGTGTAAGAAATATAAGTGAAATACGTGTGAAATTGAATATCTTATGCAGTGACTTTTATTACAATATATCAATTTTGTCATTGTTATTTTTATCACTTAAGATTTCGTTTGTTGAAGTAACATAATTTATGGTGAGACGTGTTATTAAATTCAATTGTAAAATTATATTTCAGGCGCCATTTGAGATACGTTTAGTGAATGGCAGCTCTCGTCTCGAAGGGAGAGTCGAAGTTCGTCACCATGGAATATGGGGGACTGTTTGCGACGACGATTTTTCCAGTGCAACAGCCGCGGTAATTTGCAGATCCTTAGGATACGGTGGACGTGCTGTTGCAAAGAAGGACGGTTTCTTTGGTCCAGGAGAAGGACCAATATGGCTCGACGAGGTAAGTTTCATAAAAAGAAATTGCAATAAAAATATAGCACTCTTTAACTAATATAATCTCTCGTCTAAATCAACTTTAATTAATGTAACTTGATTCTTTGTTTTTAAAAGGATATAACTTTCCTTTCGATCTAATATATTCAACTTTTTATCCTGAACATTATTGCTAATTTACTGTAAACTTTAAAAGGTAATAACCTTTCCTTTAAATATCCATGATATTTAATTATTTAATTTTAATTCAACGAAAACTATAATTTAGACATTTCTTTTTTATCTAATCTAATATTGTAAAATTGTTCGATTACATTATTTACTTGATCGTTTCTCCAAATTACTTAATTGCAATATTTTTGGGAATAAGGTGTTCTGTTACGGAAACGAGACCCAGCTGTACCGATGCGAGCACAATCACTGGGGTCAACATAATTGTAATCACGACGAGGACGCAGGTGTAATTTGTACACCTGGAGATGTTAACGATTCCAAGGTAAATCGAAACATTCTCTCTCGGCAGAGAGTGTAAATTCTATGGTCGTAATTTCCTTGGATGTTTATTTAATCAAACCTTCTAGTACCTATAGACATTAGAGAAATGGCTGTGTCACGAACAAATTGAAAATTAGGGAATTAATTTTATCGTTCGGTGTATACTAACAATTGTTTCGTATTTCAAGCTTTATTTAAAATTATTATAAGTCTGATGGAATTTTATTTTTTGCAAAAAGTACCTCTGGAAATATCTGTTTTCTTTCTAAGCAAACGTTCATTTCTATTTCTACTTTTAACAAAGAATTTTTATAATTTAACCTTCGTGTATGTACTAAAAAGAAGTAAATCTAAGTGCAATAATTATCTCGGTTATTTAACAGCTGATATGTTGTAACAGTAAACTGTATCGAGAGGTTTGTAAACGATCGATAGCACACTTATTGTTAGTTCAATAAATGATGAGCTTACGCAACTATCACGAGGCTTGTTTACTTCACTCCTTGACCCTAATCATTCCCTTTGTCCGTCTAACCCGTGAATGCAATCATCGATTAAATAATTGCAGTTGCACTGGCAGACTACGACGAATCTACCGGAGAAGGATATCAACGACATACTTCCGGCCAATTGTGGCAGACGATTCAAAGATTACAACGAACACGTGGGTCGTATATTTGAAAAGGTGGTGCGCGGTACTATCGCGCCAAAAGGTTCTTATCCATGGCAGGTAAATCAGATTTTTTCTAAATTACAATTTTGCGACATTTCAAAAACAATATTAACTTTAAATTCGAATGGAATAGAATTTCAAACGAAATTGACCATTCCGATCAATTTCGATACAAGTTTACAGCAATTCTTCCAAATTAAGTTTCGCAATTCTTCAAAATTAAGTTTCGCAATTCTTCAAAATTAAGTTTTGCATTTCTTTCAAATTAAGTTTCGCAATTCTTCCAAATTAAGTTTTGCAATACTTATTTCAAATTCGAATCGGTTAGAATACTAAATTTAAGTATAAGTTTATAGCAATTAATTTTGTTTTCTGTGATATTTTCAGATAAATTCACTCTTAAATTATGTTACACTGAATGGTTTCAATTAATTTCTTTTTTTTTTTTTTTGCAATATCCACAGGCCAGTATTCGTGTACGAGGGCACAGTAGGTCGAATCATTGGTGTGGTGCAGTGATTCTTTCTTCTTTACACGTGCTCACCGCTGCACATTGCTTGGAAGGCTACAACAAGGGAACTTATTTCGTTCGTGCTGGGGATTATAATACGGAGGTAGGTGAAAATCTTCGAATGAAAATTCGTGGAATGCAAAGCTTTATGCTCAGTTCACTTTAATATTCAGTTTATGCTGTAAAATATGAATAATGCGATCCGGAAAATTTGATACTGTTCTGATGCTAATAGTGAGAAGAATAATCTGTTTTCACGTGTACGTTCGCATATGTTAGATAGAGGAAGGAACGGAAGCTGAAGCTAATATCGAGGATTATTACATTCATGAAGATTTCCGCAAAGGCCATCGAATGAATAACGATATTGCTCTCGTGTTACTGAAAGGACAAGGAATTCCTCTTCGCAACGGCATTATGCCAATTTGTCTGCCACCAGAGAATGCTGAGTATCCGGCAGGTCTTAATTGCACCATCAGTGGATTTGGCAGTATCGAGACCGGGAAATCAAGTAAATAACTTGTCAAACATCTTCAGATCCATTTTTCACGTGTCTTTGCGCTGAAATATTGAAAAGCAATACGAATTGCAAAGAAAAACTGATAGATACAGATTGCAAACAATTATTAAACTTAATTTGTGTATTAAATGAAACGAATTCCTTTCAAATGAAATTGATTCAATTTCAAAAATTTTTACAGATTTTTAAGAATATCAAAATTTTGTTTAGATGTAATAATGATTTCGAGGGATCGTTTTGGTATCGACAGGCTGATAGTTTTATTTCCCTATGGAATTGTCGAGTTCTCATTGACGTGATATATTGCCTGCTTGTTGTAGCTCATTCCAAAGATCTGAGATATGGTTGGGTACCGTTATTAGATCAGTCCGAATGTCGTGCTGAACACGTTTATGGCGACGGTGCAATCAGCGATGGAATGGTCTGTGCTGGATATCTCGACGAGGGAATTGACACCTGCGATGGAGATTCTGGTGGACCATTAGCTTGCTTGAACAATGGTAATATCGCAAAAATTTGACCGTTCAATTCTATCGTTTGATACTAAGTAGATGTAAAGTGCAGTAAATATAAAAACTTCATCAATCCTCGCACACGTCGAGTACTTATTTGATAACAGTTAAACGACGAAATATCGAATGATAAAATTAATTAAACGACAAAACATGAAATTGTAAAATTCATTAAACGACAAAATTGGTATAAAATTGTAAAAGATAGAATTAATTAAAGGACAAAATGGCATTGACTGTAACCTGTAATTGTATAATAAGTCTTCCTCTCTGATATACAATATGTATACGTAATAAGGTTTCTCTCTTTTATACAGGAGCTTTCACATTGTACGGGATTACCAGTTGGGGACAACATTGTGGAAAAGCCAATAAGCCCGGTGTT